GCTCTGAGCGGAACGGTTTAAATGATCGATTTGATCCCCTCAAGTCAAGTGCAACCGCAACAACGGTCACTGAGTGGCTGGTAACAAAACTAACTTTACGACAGGGCGAACCATGGATCCCTGTTGTGTGCTGACGCGGACCACTCGAACTACACCATCCAAGCCTGGCATGAGTTCGATGACACGCCCAAGGCGCCACGTCAGTGGTGGAGAATTGGCATCTTTAATGACCACCATGTCGCCTAATGCGAAAGAGGGTGCGTCCGAAGACCATCGATGACGGCATTGCAGCGTCTGCAGGTATTCGTCTCGCCACCGTTTCCAAAAGGCCTGAACACACTGGTGTAAGAGTTTCCAGCGATTAGCAATAGATAGTCGACATATGGACCCGTTGTCTTCACTCGTGGGAATTGTCAACAGGGGTTGCCCAATCAAAAAATGACCCGGAGTCAAGCAATCTAAATCTGAAGGATCGGTAGAAGTCGGTGTCAACGGCCGGGAATTTAAAATAGCTTCAATCCGACAGATTATTGTGGTAAACTCTTCTAGAGTGAAGGTGTGCTCCCCCATCACTTTCACCATCAAGGATTTCGTTGAACGCACAGCAGCCTCCCATAATCCCCCGAAGTGCGGCGCACTAGGTGGGTTGAAATGCCATGTAGTTCGAACAGAGGCGGAGATGTGATCACGATTAGCAACATCATTGATCAAGTCATTAAGTTGGCGAGCAGCGCCAACGAAATTGGTTCCGCAATCTGTGTATATGTCGGTGGGAATGCCACGTCGTGCGACGAATCGATCTAAAGCCGCTAAAAACGCCTTGGTTGACAGGTCTGATACCACTTCTAGATGAACCGCTTTGACGACGAAACACACAAAGACGGCGATGTAGACCTTGTATTCCCGGGACTTGCGCAGGCGGTTTTCTGTCATCTTAAGTGGGCCTGCAAAGTCAATGCCAACCCGGGAAAACGGACGACACTCGGACACTCGTGATCGAGGGAGATCAGCCATCACTGGCTGAGGATGAACTGCTGCTATACGGACACATCTTGTACATTTACTGATAACTGACCGAATAAGGGAACGCAATGACAAGATCCAAAATTCTCTGGCAATGATACTTGTTAACACGCGGGGCCCACTATGGAACGTGACTTGGTGCCAATGGCGAACTATCAACATGGACAGGTGCGACGACTTCGGCAACAACATTGGGAATTTCTGTGCTTCTGGCAAATCTGAGTAACGTAGGCGACCTCCTACGCAAATTAGCCCCTTTTCATTTATAAATGGTCTTAAGCGAGCAAGGACACTATTGGACACCTCCGAGTTCACCGACAGTTCTCGATGAAGAGCAGGGAATGCAAATTGCTGAGCCGAGCGCGTAATTGTAACAATAGCGGCATCTAGATCGCTGCGAGAAAGCCAAGAATTTTGAACTAATGGTCGGCCGTGACGACAACAATATATGAATCTTTTTACTCGAGCCACAACACGTATCATTTGAGTATAGGACGAAAATCTATTGAACCATTCACTCTCTGGTTCAATTGTGGTGAGGACTGTTTGGGTAACCCTTAGTTCGGGTAGTTGATCTACGGGGACTGCATGAAAGTCAGTAGACCAGGTTTCTATTGGAGAGTGCAAACATCGTGGTCCTTCCCAATACAGTTGGTGATTAAGTAGTTCTGATGGAGTGAGTCCGCGAGAAGCGCAATCTGCTGGATTGTCAGACGATCCAATATGGAGCCACCGAGACGTGGGCAACAGCGACTGAATTTTATGCACTCTATTGGATACAAAAATTTTGAAAGACTGATGGGGTGCCGTCAACCAGCTTAGAACGATGGATGAATCAGACCATGCAAATGTGTGTGTAATATTAAGACGAACACTGAGCGTGAGCTGGATACGATGTAGCCATTTTGACAACAACACAGCGGCACATAACTCCAGTCGAGGAATAGTCACTGATTTCATGGGAGCCAACTTAGTCTTGGAACCTAGCAATACTACTGATCTCTGATCATTGGTGTCCTCAAGTCGGATGTAAACCACTGCCGCGTATCCCTTTTCCGAGGCATCACAAAATCCGCATAGAATACATCGACTGCGTAGGCGCGTACCTATGAAGCGGGGTACCTTTAAATCTGATAGGATGTGCAGGTCTGCCACAAAATTCCGCCATAGCTCAGCCAGATCATCCGGCAAGGTTTCATCCCATGACACGTGGGACGACCATACCCTTTGCATAAGGTGTTTCGCAGCAAATATCGTCGGGGCAAGGAATCCAAGTGGGTCAAAAATCTGGGCGATCAGAGAGAGCATCCCGCGTTTTGTTTGAACGACTGATTCGAGTTGGAATGCATAATTGAAACTGTCCTCACGGTGGTCCCACTGAAGCCCTAAGACCTTTACTCCGGATACATCGTTACCGTCGAATGATGTCGATCCAGTGGCACGATCTTCTGGGGCAACACAATCCAAAACCTCTCTGTTATTGCTCGACCATTTTTTTAATTCAAAACCAGCACCAGCCATTATGGAAATGATAGATGATTGCAATTCTAAAACTTCTTTCTCCGAGTCGGCACCAGTGCATATATCGTCAACATAGGTCTGTTTGAGCAGTGCATACTGCACAGCCGGACAATCTTTACAATCCTGTTCAGCGACCGATTTGATAACCCGCATAGCAAGATACGGAGCACAATTGACACCGTAGGTGACGGTGTTCAGCTCGTATTCTTTGAGTTCAGCGAATGGCGAGTCCCGCCAAAAAATATGCTGGAATGGTCTGTACTCGGGATTGACCAGGATCTGTCGGTACATCTTGCACACGTCAGTGGTAAATGCATAACGAGACAAACGGAACAATAATAGAATATCAACTACATCTTGCTGCAACTTGGGACCTGTAAGCAGACAATTATTCAAGGAAGTGCCAGTGGACGATGCTGCCGAAGCGTCAAAAACGACGCGAATTTTCGAACTAGGGACCGATGATCGGTATACGGCATGGTGTGGGATGAAATAACGTCCGGGAGCAGCCGCAACAGTCATATGGCCTAGGCTGATGTACTCGGACATAAATTGTACATACATGTCGCGGAGTCGAGGATCGGCGTGGAGCTTGCGCTCTAAATTCTCGAAACGCTTCAGAGCTATAGCACGAGACCCATGAAATGCGTCGGAGGTCACCTTTTCACGGAATGGTAATGGAACCGTGAAACGGCCTTCGGGATCACGAGAGCACTCGTTTCGAAAAATGGCCTCACATTTACCGTCAACAGTAAATGTTTCCGGAGCTGCATCCGGCTCTTCCACATGCCAGAAACGATCCATCAAGGATTCTATCGAAGTTGTCAACGAGACAGGAATGGCATGAAAGGCTGACATGGCATTTGAGGGAACTGGTCCAATCAAAATCCACCCGAAGATCGAGCCAAATGCCACTGGATAAACGTTTCCCACCTCAACACGCTTGCCGTTCAACGCAGAAGAAAAAATATCAGCACCCAACAGTAAATCTATTGGTGATGGTGTAGCGAACGATGGATCGGCTAAAGCCAAATGTGTGAATTTCTGGGCCACGATTTCCGGTAGGGATTGACGAGGCATGTCAGACGTGATAGTCGGGAACACCCAAGCCTTCACAGAAATGATCGGCTCGTCCGCGAATCGG